GATGCTCTTATCCAGCAGTTGTCGAAGCGCCAGGAGGAGCCCGCGGGTAAGGAATCGGAGGTCCAAGCCGCGCTCGACCAGCTTCAACTGGATGTGGCGGCACTCCGCACGGAGCAAAGGGTACAGCAGAAGTCCATCGAGGAGATCAAGAGTCGTCCCGCGTCCTCTACGGCCGGCACGCCGTCATCTACGAAGTTCCAGCCGCGCTGGTTAGCCACACCGCGAAGCCAGAGAACGACATTTGTGGTGACCAACCTTGGGTGGAACATCCGGGACACGGTTCTAGAAGGAAATGTTCGAGAGTTGCTGAATCAAGTGCAGTGCCCGCAGGAGCACATCCGCCAGATCAAAGCGCCGTACGCGTTTGGCTCCATCGTCGAGGTCTCTTTTGTGGACAACGCGAAGGGCCAGGCGGTGGCGGACAGAGTCGTGGCAATGAAGAAGAGGAGCAACCACAACGACAAGATCATCTGGATGGGGACAATCTCGACAAAAGAAGAGCGAGCTCCCGCCAAGGTCTGGGGCTTGGCCAAGACCTACTTCGCAGACGCCCTGCCGAAGCTTTCGACGCCCGTGGAGCCCATCTTCTGCGACAGGACGAGGACAATTCATGGTGCGGTGAACGGGACGCAATTCGTGGTGGGCAAAGTTCAGCAAGGGGCCTTCCAGTGGGACACTAGCGTGCCAGCCAGCCAGATCAAGACCGAGCTTGGGGCCGAGGGCGTGCATGACGCCATGAACCTGTGAGTGCAACATCATGCACTTGTGGGCGCGATCAACATCCAAGGCGAGGGCCCGACGGATGAGGAGATCGCCGAGATTATCAAGTCACTAGAGCTGAGATGTTGGGGCATCTTGGCAATGTTTGAAACTGACCACCGCCAGCGCCGGGACGCGGGAGATGCGCAGCTTCGCCCTTTTCGATGCCGTCACTGGCGCCTTCGTCATTACAGTGGTGAGGGTGGTTGGGCTTATTCCGTGCTAATTCATTCTGCTGCAAGGCCACACGTGAAGGGCATTGAGGTCCGCGATACGTCGTGTCGTATCGACCTCGCGACCCGGGGCCCTGATTCTAAAGAGAGTATGTTGAGGTCAATCGTTTTCAGCCATCTCGCCCATGGAGGACACTTCGAAAACAGTCTTTCTGATGCTATCTCTCTCGCTCGTTCTCGTCCGAGGGGGGCTATCTTAACATGGATGGGGGACAAACATGCGGACCTTTTCAAGCCTTGGCAGCACGTGTGGTCCAGATACCTTCAAGCTGTCGACGGCTTAGGATTGCGAGTTCAGCCGCCGCGTTTCAACGAGTCGGATGCCCGTCTGCACTGCACGAGGAGACCCGATGGACGCCAGAGTGGAAGCCCAGCGATGATTGACCATGTGTCTTCCCGCAAGTTGGATAGCGTCGATGTGTTTGTTCAATGGTCTGGAGTTCCCGGGGACCGCGCTTTCCTGGGCACCGATCTCTTCCTGCTGCCCCGTCCAAGGCACAAGAGGAGGCCTCCGCATTGGCGACCAGAAGATCCGACGAACGTGTGCTCCTTCGCCATGCGTTCGCACCCAGTTGCTGCTGAGCTTCTTTATCACGACGACTGGCGACAACGCGGAGGAGTTGGAGGACAAAGAGGAGTTTCCGAAGGAGTTTCCGAAGGAGTTTGGTGTTACCCGGGACCGTTTTGTACGTTACCTGGCGGTGGAGGACAAGGAGGAGTTTCAAGTGATTCACTTTCTTTGTCCGCGTCTCCATCAACGGGGTATTTTTGTCTTGGGACCAGGATCGTCTATCACGATGACCCGTGCCAGGACTCGTTCGATTTCTGGGAGGACAGGATGGCGGAGGTGGTGGAGGGTACTCAGAGATCAGGTTCTTCTAGGATCCGACGTCGTACGAGCGAGCCGATGTGGATCAATGAGTTGAGGAGACAAGTCCGCGTGTCGTTAGAGGAGGTCGAACGAGTCGAACGGCACAGGAACCTTTTACGAGGCCTGAAGATTTCGAGAGATTTTCGACTTCGTCGTCAGATCGTTTCCGACTGGACGTCGGGGGCCAGAGTGTGGATACGCAAGAAGCTTTTGCCGCCGGTGACGGGCTTCAGTGCGCCGACGGGCGGCATCGTAGTGGATCCTGCCGTGTGTTCTCGGGTGGTCTTCGAGGAGTACACGAAACGGTGGCAACTTCCTCCGGCCGAAGTTTCGGACGAAAGGTTTGCTTTGAAATCCTTGGGTAT